CTCCCCAGCAGGCTCACTGAAACTGCTCTTATCAAGCAATCAATGATCTTTAAATTTCTCAATCCAAAGGTCAAACATCAGTCCTTGCCCTCCCTGAACGGCCAGAAGCAGTTGACACAGCCGATATCACACCTTCCTTCACCTGGCTCCAGGGACACCACGGTCTCTCTCTGCGCCAGCTGCCAATTCCCGTCTCACAGGCTCGGTCCTGGAACCCCTCCATTAGCTACTCGCTCCCTTTGTGCTTTTGTCCAGTCTCTCATGGCTTTAATTACCATCTGCATGACCAGGACTCCCAAATTTACATCTCAGGTTGGACCTGCCCTCAGTACTCCACACATCTATCCAACTGCCTTCTTGACATCTTCTGGATATGCAGAAAGCCTACCAGGCTGGAGCCATAGAGCTAAAAATGTAGCTCCTCCTAATGTTTCCTCTCAAGCCTGCTTCTCCCTCCATCTGCCCCATTTCAGTGAGTGGCAACTCCAGTGTTCAATTCCTCAGGTCAAAAACCTGGGACTGTCTCTCTCCAAAACTTCACATCTATCTATCCATTAGCAAATCCTGATGGCAGTGCCTTCAAAACACACCCGGAATCCAACACCAACTTGCTATCATCCTTGTCCACAACCTCACCAGGAATTTGATAATAGCTTCTTCACTGTTGCCCCTGCTTTTATGCATGATCTTCTATGGTCTATTTTCTTTTTTTCCCCCAAAAATACACAAATTTTTTAGTATATTTTTATTGATTATGTTATTCAGTTGTCCCACTTTTTCCCGCTTTGCCCCCCTCTGCCCAGTACCCCATTCCCTCCTGCAATCCCTCCCTTTAGTTCTTGTTCATGGGTCATGCCTATAAGTTCTCTGGCTTCTCCATTTCCTATACTATTCTTCATATCCCCCTTTCTATTTTGTATCTACCAATTACGCTTCTTAATCCCTGCACCCTTTCCCCCACTCTCCACCAACTCTCTCCCTGCTGATAACCCTCCAAATGATCTCCATATCTATGATTCTGTTCCAGTTGTTTTCTCAGTTTTGTTTTGTTTTTTAAGATTTAGTTGTTGATAGCTGTGTATTTGTTGCCTTTTAATATTCATAGTTGTGCTCTTCTTTTCTTAAATAAGTCGCTTTAACATTTCTGGTAATAATGGCTTGGCGATGATGAACTTCTTTAGCTTTACCTTGTCTGGGAAGCACTTTGTCTGTTCTTCCATCCTAAATGATAGCTTTGCTGCTTTTCATCATTTTTGAATACTTCTTGCCAGTCCCTTCTTACCTACAAACTTTCTTTTGAGAAATCAGCTGACAGTCTTATGGGAACTCCTTTATAGTAACTCTCTGCTTTTCTCTTGCTGTTTTTAAGATTCTCTCTTTATCTTTTACCTTTGCCATTTTAATTTTGGTGTATCTTGGGGTGGTCCTCTTTGGGTCTAATTTGTTTGGGACTCTGTGCTTCCTGGACTTGTATATCTATTTCCTTTGCCAATTTAGGGAAATTTTCTTTCATTATTTTTTCAAATAAGTTTTCAGTTTCTTGCTCTTCCTGTTCTCCTTCTGGCACCCTTATGATTTAGATGTCGGCACTTGTGGACATGTCCCAGAGGGTTCTTATATACTATCTTTAATTTTTTTTAATTCTTGGTTCTTCTTTCTGCTGTGGCTGAATGTTTATTTCTTCCTTATATTCCAAATCATTGGTCTGAATCCTGGCTTCCTTCCCTTCACTGTTGGTTCTCTGCAGATTTTTCCTTATTTCATTTAGTGTAACTTTTAATTCTTACTGTATGTTTACCCTATAAAATGTCAGAGAAATTGGGCTGTCTCCTCAAGGTGGCTTAAACTCATTCCTCTGATCCCTGAATTTCCTACGAACCGATGACTGGAATCATGTTCGAATTTTCAGACAGGAACAGTTCTCGAGTGGTATTGAGCCTTTCCCATTGCACTGCACTGTGAGGCCCACCTTGGCAGGCTTCCATCGTTTTATCAGTGCCGAGACTGTTCAGTGGCTTCAGATGGCATCACTCTGATCTGCCCGTTATATTGCCCCATCACCTTTTCTCCTGGTGCTGGCTGCCTTACACCCATTTTCTCACTAGGAGTAGCAAACAGTGATTTTCTAACTCCAGTGTTCCTGCATTTATTAACTGCAAATCTGTAAAGAAGGCTAGCCTCTCATTAACCTTCTGGTTTCTCAGAGATTAGTTTGTACAGGAAAGGCAGGATAAATGCTTCATTTTTACCTTCATTATTTTCAAAGAATTGAGCTAGTGCTCTGACCTATGTTGTGAACAATGAGTTCCTTTTTACTTCTCATTATGAATGTATTACTTTTATATATTTGATGTTTTTCAATCCACTGTAGTCATTATTCTTTTTGATGCTCACATGGTTCTAGCTTAAGCCTAAGGCCTCCTAACACAACACTATCAACCTTTGTTCATTTGCTCACTTTGCAGCCACCGTACCCTAAGCCAGTGATTTGCCAACCAGTGTGCTGCAAGAATTTTAAAAACATGCAACACCTGACTATTTAGTCAGGGGCACTGACCTCTTTTCCCTTAGACTGGCAAATAAAAAGTGGTAATAGCCAACACAATGATGGCCTTCCAGTGTGAATGCTCTGTCTTGAACCATAAATATTTAAGGTCACAGAATGGAGCTGCATCTTATTGGTCACATCACGTAATAAGGTTACATCTGATCTGTTAATTCTTGGTACAGAAATCCTTATATACAATTATAGGCACCTGATTTTTTAAAAACGTCACTCTGGAGCAAAAAGAGTTCGTAATGACTATTATACTCTTTGTAAAGCAATCAAATATTTCTGTCAGATTGGCAAAAAAATATATGTTTGGGGTATGCCACAGAATTTTAGTAGTTTATGTGTGCCATGAAATGAAAAAGGTTGAAAATCTGTGCCCTAGTCTTATGATATCTATTTCCAGCTACAGACCTGGAACCAGCCATTTCTAAAAAAAAAAAAAAATCCTCCATTCCTTTCGGTGGGAAATAGCAAAGACCACAGCGTGGGCTCTGCAGAAGCCGAATACCGTGGGAAGGCCACTGCAAACTCCTAAGTCTTTTCAGTCAGAAGATTTTTAGGTAAAAAAAAATAGTCTTGAGTCCATACTGTTACTTATATTTCTAGCTTCAGATTACAGGGCTTTTATTTAATTTCTTTGACTTAACACCTGTAATATTTTCTTTCATTCTGAAAACTGTGGTTCCTAATGACACTGCTGTAGTTATTGGCTTTATCTTACAATGGAGCTGTAAGCATTTCAACATAATTCCGAACCCGTTGCTAACATGAGACTTCCCAGTGCAGTTTTATATTTCTTGGCGGTTCTCCGCGTCCTTAGACTAGATCCTGCTAGGGAAGAAGGGCCAAAATATTGTTTTAAGGTTACTTAAAGTAATTATTTTCTCTGCGTAGTCACTGCTACAAACTTGTTTGGTTCAGAGTGTTTTAAAATCCTAGAGATTTTTTTCCTTTTTGCTTTCCTTTTGTTTAATTATGTAAAATATTTACATGCTCCCAAAGTTTAAAATGTATAAGAAAGTAAATTCACAAAAGTACTTTGTTCCAACATTGTTCCCTCCTTCCCTCTATGGGTAACCAATTTTTTTTTGTTAGTTTTAGGTTTATTTTTCCACTATTTTTTTTGAAAATATAAGCAAGCACACACCCCCTCTAATAGTACTCCCTCCCTTTCTTACACAAAAGGCAGCACAGAATGAACCAAAGGGATCCTTCTAAGAGGTAAGTGTGATCACCTCACTCCCCGCTGAAAGCCAATAGCTTCCCACCTCCCGTGGAATGAGAGCCCAAGCCTTCAATGGGCACAGTCTGCAAAGGCCTACGATCATGACCTAACTCCTCCTGTCCCTCCAAACTGGGTTCCTGGGCCCAACCCCAACAGGGTGTCCAAGAATTCAAATCAGTTCTGACTCTCTTCCCCCAGAGAGGGCCTCAGACTCCACAGGCTGAGTCCAGTCCTACGAGACTGCCTTGTCCCCCGGCTTCATCCCACCCCCACCAACTTCCACGCAAGCCCCAAGCCCAGGCTCTTATCTGTGCTTCTACTGACTGGCCACATATTGGAGGGTCCAAAGATCCCATCCAACTCAGAATGGCAACTGCAAGTCCTGGTTGTTACATGTACCAACTAGCTACAAATCAGAGGTTCCCGCAACCCCCTCCTTGAATTTGATTTACTAGAACAACTCACAAAACGCAGAGAAACATGTTACTTAACAGATCGCTAGTTTATTATAAAAGGCTGTAACTCAGGAACAGCCACATGGGAGAGATGCACAGGGCAAGGTGTGTGGGGAAGGGCAGAGCTTCCTCTTCAGACGCCACTCTCCCCTCATCCCCACACATTCACCAACCGGGAGGCTCTTCGAACCTCACCCTCTTGGGGTTTTACAGGGACTTCATTACATAGTCGCAATTGATAAAGTCATTGGCCACTGGCGATTCATTCAACCGCCTGCACCTCTCCCCTCCCCAGAGGTCAGGGGTGGGGGGAGACTGAACGTTCTGACCCTCTGACAACATGGTTGGTTCCATGGGCAGCCAGGGCCCATCCTTAGGTGCTTTCCGAGAGTCACCTCATTGGCGCTAATTGGCTATAAGAAAATAGTAAGGAGAAAACAAAGATATATACTGCTATTTTTTTTAACATATTTATAACTAACTCATAAATCCCTGTCCAGTTCCACAATTAGCAGACATGCTCTACAAACCACTGGTCATCACATCTAGCGTAATCCTAAGAGCAACCCGTGTCTGTTGAACAGCTCGGCGCTCCATGTTGCTCCTGGATCCCACCTCCTCCTCAGCCCCCTGAGCTGTGGGGAGGGCCCAGCAGAAGCAGCAGCACAAAGACTGGCCTTCTGCTTGGAGGTCCCGCCCCACCCTGTGTGGGTGTGGAGCGTGACGATGTGCATGAGACTCCGAAACCGGAGTCTGCGGGACTCACCTGCCGCTGGAGGCTCTGGGCCCGGTGCTTCACAGCGGAGGCGTAGAGAGCGCGTCCCGCACGGAGCTGTTCCAGTCGCCGCCTCCACTCGCTGCAACACGCCCTGTCAAGGAGCAAGGCGAAGATGAAACCGCTCAGAAAAAAAGTCACACAGGAAAGAGGAGAGTAGTGAGGGTGGGGCCTCGGCTCTCAGGTCAAGTCCCTCCCCCTCACGGTGCCATCTCTAGAGGGCTGCGTGTTAGAGCCCCTGCTCAGTGGAGAAAGTCCTAAAGCTGCCAATTGAAGGCTGAAAACTGATGGCTCCTTAGTCAGATCGAGCCTTAGATGCTGTAGACATGCTCTGTGTGGCCTATACAACTTTTAAAAAACATAATAAATTATTGCCAACATTTAAAAATCAGGAGAGTTCACAGAACAATCTACCCCCAAAAGTAGCTTTTAGATTTCCAGTCTTGAGGGATCCCTTCCCTTCCTACTGTCCTGGCCAGGTTTCATCCAGTATTAAGTCTTTTCTGCTTATTTTCTAATTTGATGTAGGAAAACAGTAAATGAGGATATGAGTTGGCAACTTCCGCATTACAGAAACAACTTACCTGATCACTCTAACCCCCCAAAGTCTCTTTTCTCCTATCCTAGGCCATGCTAGCTGCATTACTCACTTCAAAATCGAAAGCTATCTTACATTATTAGTTATTTTTTTAAACACTTGGGGAATTAGAAGTTCCCTGAATGTAGACCCAGCACCCAACATTGTACCAGGAACGTTTTAAGCCCTCAATAAATATACACTGAACAAATAGAATTATGTAAAATATCCCCAACAGACTCTCATAGAATTGTATACTTATTCAAAAATTTTAAATATTTACAGAATAAATTTTAAATAATTTCACAATTTCTAAAATTTTAAATAACTTCATGTCCGGTGATGTTCTGAATACTACGCTAAATACTTTACAGGTATTACTTAGTTCCCATGACAACCTCAAAAGATTCTTATTGGTGCGCCTATTTCACAGATGAAAAGTGAGACTTGGGGAGGTGAAATGACCCAGTAACACACGCTGGAACAGGGACTGGAACCCAACTCAGTCCAGGTGCAAAGTCTCTGCTCTCATCCATACAAGGCCCAGCTCTTTCAGGCAGAAACTGAGCTTTTAATATGCTGTCATTCGGGACACCAAGGACCACCAGAAACACTGCACAGTGGAATCATCCCCATGTAAAGTAGCTCGTCGTTACGCACAACTGGCTTCCAAGGAACTAACTCATCTCCCTTCCACGTGTGGACAGTGCTGATGAGCTGCAAGGCAAGGAAGCAGTTAGAAGCATGGTCTTTGGCATCAAGAGAAATTGTGTCGTGAGCTCTATCTTTGCCAATTACAACTTATGAAGTCTGTGCAGAAAAAGTCCAGCCATGTACTATGAAAAATAGAGACATTTATTGAAAAAGATATAAGATACAAGAAACATTGTACACAGGACAATGATGCCTCAGTCCCCTTCAAAGTAGGCACCTTGGAACCTCACACAGTTCTCCCAGTCGCTGTCAGCTACCCTGTTTTATTTTCCTGAATCTCACTGATGGTCTGAAATCGCTTCCCTTGAAAAAGTGATTTTAGTGTTGAGAAAAGCCAGAGGTCACAAGGCACCAAATCTGGGCTGCAGGAGGGCTGAGTCACCGGGGTGATTTGATATTTCACCAAAAAACTCTGCATGAGCAGGTGTGTTGTCTTGATGAAGGTGCCAATCACCAGTCGCCCATAGCTGCAGCCTTCTGAATCATCTGAATAGTTTCCACGGAGGAATGTTCAAGCTTCATGCAAAATGTGATGCAGATTCATTGCTCTACTCGTTCATTTTGAATGCGACAACCACAGAGTACACATGCTCACTCAACAGTGCCTACCGCCCACACTGACTGGTACACCGTGAAGTCACCATTGTTCACGCATGTGCATTCCAGTCCACTAGCCTTGGCTGTCAGGTTACATCCACATCCCCTAACCATTCTCGTTATATTAACAATGGTTGGACTCTTTCCAGACAGACCTCGTGTATCTTAATCTGTACAATAATAATACTTAACTTTACAGTTTATGGTGAGGGTTAAATGAGATGCATTACATTAAAAAATTAATATACCAGCCCTGGCTGGTGTAGCTCAGTGGATTGAGCACAGGCTGCGAACCAAAGGGTTGCCAGTTCTATTCCCAGTCAGGGCACATGCCTGGGTTGCAGGCCAGGTCCCCAGTGGGGGGCCACGTAAGAGGCAACCACACACTGATGTTTCTCTAACTCTTTCTCCTTCCCTTTTCCTCTAAAAATAAATGAATAAATATCTTAAAACAAATTTAATATACCCACATACTTAACACAGGATTTAGAACACAGTGAGTACTCAATTAGTGTTACTTATGATTATGTGAAAACTTGATTTTATAGTTGGACAAACTCTCAATAAATATATATTAGATACCAATTATGTTCAAAACTATTTTAAGGTGGGGTTTTGTGTTGCTTCGCAGCAGCAGAAAGAAAGTCTGAAGCCCTGGCTGGTGTAGCTCAGTGGATTGAGCACAGGCCTGTGAACCAGAGGATCTCAGTTCGATTCCCAGTCAGGGCACATTCCTGGGTTGCAGACCAGTTCCCTGCAGGCCAGTTTCTAGCAGGGGATGCATGAAAGGCAACCATACATTGATGTTTCTCTCCCTCTCTCCTTCCCCTCTAAAGGTAAATAAATAAATAAAATCTTTAAAAAAAGAAAAAAGAAAAAAGAAAGTCTGAGACAGGCCCAGCTGGTGTAGCTCAGTGGATTGAGCGCAGGCCTGTGAACTGAAGGGTCACCAGTTCGATTCCCAGTCAGGGCACATGCCTAGGGTAAGGGCTGGGTCCCCGGTAAGGGCCGTGGGAGAGGCAACCGCACACTGATGTTTCTCTTTCTCCCTCCCTTCCCCTCTAAAAATAAATAAATAGAATCTTTAAAAAAGACAAAGGCTGAGACAAAATGGTAGCTGCTGGACTGAGATGTCTGAGCCCACTCACCACAAAATCCTCCGCTGCCTAAACTCCAGGGCGGTGGTCTGCATCTGACATTTGGTCCTTCGAAAAACAACGTAGATCAGCCAGGACTTCCAGGCCCTCCGCATCTGTTGCTTTGCATCTGGACGCACCAAAGAGATTTTCAAAATGGGGTAGGGGCAGGCTGAGTACTCTGGGTTAGGATAAAAGCTCCTGGCGCTCCCTGTGTTTATCCCACCTTTGACTCAATTCCTCCAGCCTTCCAGTGCCCCCTGCTGGAAAAGTTGTGAACTCTACAAAATTAATAAAGATGCAAGTACCTGTGAAGAACGGCTATATCAGTGATAACATATACAAAACATTTAAAAGAAAATCAATATACTGTTGCCACGTCCTCTTCCAACCATGTTGTCTGACAAGGTCTGGGCATGGAGGATTTAAGTTCAAGGAATTCGTCTCCCCGGAGGAGAACGTGGCATCCAAAATGGGTTAACAATTGGCTATTTTAATTATTTTACTCTTGCTCCTGAATATAGACATTGTACTGTACTTACTTATTCCTATGAAAATCACCCAAGAGGAAGGGACAGTTCAGGGGAAAACATTAATATTCCCCACGGAACCCCCTCTCCCTTATACAGGGGAGTACGACAGCCAGGGTAATATAATTGTTAACCATAAGGGAAAACATGTCAAGTTGTATAAATAACCCTGGTTTGAGCAACTTAAAGTGATCGGGACCGCCATGGTGTACCAGAAATAAGAAAAATAAGTTAGATCTCTTAAATAAACAGTTAAGGCCAGTTAATAAAGAACCAGGTTATCGTTGCAAACACAGGTTGTGCCGCCAACAGTTGAGGGAAGAACAGATCAGAAAGACTTTCCCACTACTGTTCCTTACCCACAGATACAAAGGGTCTTCCAAGAAAACAAGTAAAAATTATATAGACTCCTACCCACAACCCAGGGATACGGTCAGGACGGATGAGATGCATCTGCAAGGCAGAGGCAATTGTGGCTGGATTTCCTCTCCATCTTTCCTTACATGTTTGTTTTGGTGATCAAAAGGTGGTGGGATTGTTAGACACTTGTATTTCAGGTTCATTGATTCGCACAATTCCAATGAAGTTGTACAAAATAATTTCTCGACCAGAGAACACAGTTCCCTCTAATGAAATAGTCCCTGAATGTTTAGAAGTTGTTGAAGTAACAGCCCCTCCTTTACCTTGAATAAGAATATATATCAATTAGACAGGCAAAGAAATAACAAAAGCTGGCTAGTTATTACAAACTAAACATGCAGAAACAGTTACTAAAGAGTCAGAGTTCATAGTACACAGAGAAACATTCTGACAGAAAAGGATAGATAGCTAAGTTAGACATCACAAAGGCCTTATAATAAATTTCCTATTACCTCTACTCAATCTAGTGTATCCTTTTGCCCCATGAAAAATTCTGAAAAACCTTACTATATGATAAGATATTCAAATTCTGTACATACAGCTATTTTTAATTGTCTGATTTATGGCTCTCCTGGTCAAAATAATCTTTGTTTATTATAACTGAATCTATGGGAACTTTCGTATTTTTCCTGGTTACCTTTGTATTGATTTTTTCTGCTTAAATGATCATGTTATACTGCAAATGTTAATCACTACCTAAAATGAAAATATAAAAACCTGCTTGTACTTGCAATAAATGGAACAGAGCTTCGCTGTCCTTTGAGGCGTGTTGTCGTCTGTTACCCAGCGCCAACTCCTTACCCACCTTCGGGACCCCTGGACCCTGCTGCGGCTGGTCCGAGGCATACTGTACTGTTCAGAAATACTTTACTTTAAAAGCCCTTATTTTTTTAGAGATTTATTATGCAACATTTACAGATGAAATGATGTGAACAACACAGAAAACAGAGAAGTGAGACTAGTGTGAGTTGATAATTGTTGAAGTTAGGTGGGAGGTTCATTAGTCTACCTCTCAATTTTTTAGAGACTTAAATTTTTCCACAATACAAAGTTTAAAAAATAAGAAAGTGCATTATAAAATGTGCTGTTTGAAATAATAATTAAGTAGCATAAGCAAGACAAAAAATATTTTCTGTATCTGTTTGGGAAACAGAATAACAAAGACCAGTAATAATCCTGGAGAAGAAAGAAATTGCTAGATACGGAGCTGCAAAGGTCAACATTTCCCTTTGTGGTAGATTCCATTTTCATTATGGAAGTCATTATCAATAAAGTAAATTTCTTTTTAGTATACAAAAGATACAATGCAATTATGTGAACAATTTTCAGAATAGTCTTCAAAATGTGGTCAGTAGTACTGGAGCTACACCTTATATTTCATAGTTGTTGACAAATGGATTCAAATTATGAAAAAAATTTAACACGCACCTTCCTCAAGCCCATCCCAGATCTCAGGAATCAACACAACCCCAGGCCACAAGGACTGGTATGGTGCTATGGTTTAGAGTTTGGGGTCCCAAAATAAGACAAGCCAGGTGTGAATACTGACCTTGTCATTTATTAGCTAAGTAACCTTGCACAAGTTCCTTATGTATAAAATGCTGCCTCCCTTAGAGGTTATGTTTGCAAAGAAAAAATTAGATTGTCTATGATAAGCGTTTCCAATAAGTGCAAGCTGTTATTTTCTGAGCATGGAACCCAGCAATTCGCATTATTCGTTTCTATCAAGATTCTGATGACGATTTGAGAACTATTCCTCCCTGAGGCCTGATCGTACTTGCAGACTTTTTATTTACCAGTGTAAGTGTAAATGGGTACTCCCTGAGGTCTGTGGACATGGCCTAAAACAATGTCATATGTCAGAAATAACTCTTTTAGCTTAAAAATCCAAGTGACTTTTCTTTAAACTCTGTAATATGGAGTTGGTTGGGCATCATCCCACAAACTGAAAGACTGTCGGTTCGATTTCCAATCAGGGCACATGCCTAAGTTGCAGGTTGGATCTCTGGTTGGGGCACGTGCAGAAGGCAACCAACTGATATTTCTTTCTCACATCAATGTTTCTATCACTGTTTTTCTCTCTCCCTTCCCTTCTCTCTAAAATCAGTAAGAATGTCCTTGGGTGAGGGTAAAAAAAATTAGCAAATTGAACCCAGCAATACATAAAGATTGGTGTTAAACTGAGGAATCTATGGCTGGTTCAAAATTCGAAAATCACTCTATATAATTCAACATATTAACAAACTAAAAAAAAGGCCACGTGATCATCTCAAAATAGAGAAAAATAATGAAAAAACCCAACATTTATTAATGATAAAAATGCTCATAAAACTAGGAATATAAGAGAACTTCCTTGCCCTGGCTGGTATAGCTCAGTGGATTGAGCATGGGCCTGTGAAGCAAAGGGTTGACGGTTCAATGCCCAGTCAGGGTACATTCCTGGGTTGCAGGCCAGGTCCCCAGTAGGGGGCACTTGAGAGGCAACCACACATTGATGTTTCTCTCCCACTCTTTCTCCTTCCCATCCCCTCTCTCTAAAAGTAAATAAATATTTTATTAAAAAGATAATCTAGAAAGGGAACAATCATCACTGTGTCATAACAAAGAATTTTTTTAAAAAGAGAGAACTTCCTTAACCTGATAAAGGATATCTACAAATAACCTCTAGTTAATATCACACCTAATGGTTAAAAACCGAATGCTTTTCCCCTAAGATCAGGAATGAGACAAGGATGTCCACTCTCACAAATCCTTTTCAGTGTCATGCTGGAAGCCCTAGACAATGGATTAAAAATATTTTGGAAAGGAAGGAATAAGGCTGTCTCTGTTTACCGATGACTATGGAGAAAAATCCCATTCAATCTACATAAAAGATCCTAGAACTAACAAATAAATTTAGCAAGGTTGCAGGATATACAAGATACATAAGTAAAACCACAAAACTTTTAGGAGAAAATCTTTGCAACTTTGGGTTAAGGAGAGTTCTTACATAAACTATCAGAAACACAATCCATAAAACAAAAACTGATAAACTGGACTTCCACCAAAATTAAAAACTTTTGCTCTGTAAAAGACATTAATAAGAGAATGAAAAGAAAGCCACCAACTGGGAGAAAGTATTTACGAATGGGGGAAGCTATGCAGGTGAAGGGGCGGACGGTATCTGGGTAATCACTGCACTTTCTGCTCAGTTTCACTGTGAATCTAAAACTGCTCCTAGAAACTAGAGTCTTAATAAAGGAAAGTCAATTCAGGCATTTTCTCGAGACATGCATTTCCGTTTCTTACCATAATCCGCAGCTCTCAGGTACTTGTTCTTCACAGCCTGCTGCTGACGCACGTAGGCCTTCCAGGTCTGGAACGCCAGGTTGTACAAGTAGTACCTGAGGAGCCAAAGAGGCAAATGGCATTTCTTGAAAACAAAACAATTCCTGATTTGTTGTCCCCAGTCCATACTCAGGAGAAATGAGCATGAACATTTCTGATACAAAAATATCTACATCCTAAGCTAAACTTTCATTTCCTATAATCACGGTGGAACCTGCGGTCCTTGACAGAGTGTTGTTCCCCACACCTCCCAGTGTCACTGAGGAGAAAAGCCCTGACTTTTCTGAGAATAGCATTACCTTCAGCATCCACAAAGCCGTATGTCTGGCATGGTAGTTGTAACTGACTTAATGTCTACAGTGTGTAAAACATTACTCTTCTCCTTTGCACTAAAACATGGTCCATGACACTTTTTTCTTTCTCTTCCTTCCCAATACATATATTAGACACATGCAGATATCAGTACCTCCGTATTTTCATCACCCCATTTCCTAAGACTTAATGTCATACTCTACCAGATTAGAATTATTCAATGTATCTATTTTGTCTGAAATATATAAATCAAGACCCCTACAACAGACTTCCGGCCAAGATGGAGGCGTAGGTGGAAATACTGTGCCTCTTCGCACAACCAAGTTCAAAGACAACAAAGTTTTAGTAACAAAAACGCAACCAAAACACAGACAAATGAACTGTACAGAAGTCCAACAAACACGACACATTCAGCCAGACTGGTAAGAGGGGCGGAGTCAGCAGCTGGCGGAGCGGGGTTGCGCAGGAAAAAGTGGTCGGACTGACAGGTACCCAGGCGGGGGTTGGCAGATCCCAGGCGTGGGGTGGCAACAGGCGGACCCAGTGAGGGCGCAAGGCAGCTGGCTGACTGGAGTCACACATTGGCGCCAGGCAAAAAAAATGAGCAGTGAGACAGACCACACAAACCAGGGCCCCAGCACCGGGAATTAAAGCCTCAAAGCACCAACTGAAAAAACTTTCCGGGGCCCAGGTGCCGGGAGAGGCTCCCAGGCTCACAAGAGTTTCTTGGGGAGACCCACGGGGTTCTGGAGGGTGCACAAGCCCACACACCCGGGAACCAGCACCAGAAGGGCCCAATTTGATTGCAGGAAGAAGCAGAGGGGACCGAGATCTGAGAGATAGCGTGGAACAAGCGCCATTTCCCCTCTCTGACCCTGCCCCCACATACATCTTCACAACTCAGGGTTGCGCCACCCTGGTGAACACCTAGGGCTCCGCCCCTCATATATAACAGGTTCGAACAGACCAAAACATTATGGCTCAAGAGGAACAGCTCAAAGCCCCAGAACCAATACTTCTGAGCAACCAGAAGATAGCCAATCTATGAGATGCACAGTTCAAAACACTGGTAATCAGGATGCTCACGGAACTGGTTGATTTTGGTCCCAAATTAGATGAAAAAAATGAAGGCTACCCTACATGAAATGAAGCAAAATGCACAGGAAAACAATAGTGATGGAGAGGAAACTGGGACTCAAATCAAGGGAGTGGACCTGAAGGAAGAAAAAAATGACCAAACAGAAAAGGATGAAGAAACAAGAATTCAAAAACATGAGGAGAAGCTTAGGAACCTCCAGGACATCTTTAAACGTTCCAACATCTGAATTATAGGGGTACCAGAAGTGGAAGAAGAACAGCAACAAGTTGAAAAATTATTTGAACAAATAATAAAGGAGAACTTCCCCAATCTGGCAAAGGAAATAGACTTCCAGGAAATCCAGGAAGCTCAGAGAGTCCCAAAGAAGTTGGACCCAAGAAGAAACACACCAAGGCACATCATTATTACATTAGCCAAGATTCAAATGAAGGAGAGAATCCTAGAAGCAGCAAGAGATAAGGGGACAGTCACCTACAAAGGAGTCCCCATCAGACTGTCAGCTCATTTCTCAAAAGAGACCTTACAGGCAAGAAGGAGCTGGAAAGAAGTATTCCAAGTCATAAAAGGCAAGGACCTACATCCAAGATTGCTCTATCCAGCAAAGCTTTCATTTAGAATGGAAGGACAGATAAAGTTCTTCTCAGATAAGACCAAATTCAAGGAGTTCATCATCACCAAGCCCTTATTATATGAAATGTTAAAGGGACTTACCTAAGAAAAAGAAGATAAAAAAGATGAACAGTGAAAGGACAGCAAACTCATAGTTATTAAGAACCACACCTAAAACAAAAGCAAACTAAGAGGACAGCTAGATCAGGAGCAGAACCATAGAAATGAAGATCACATGGAGGGTTAGCAACAGGGGAGTGGGAGGAGAAGGGGGAGAAGGTACAGAGAATAAGTAGCATAGACGGTAGGTAGAAAATAGATAGGGGAGGGCAAGAATAGTATGGGAAATGTAGAAGCTAAAGAACCTGTGACACATGGACATAAACTAAAGGGGGTGGTGATGGGGGAGGGGTGTGCAGGGTGGAAAGAAATGAAGGGGGAAAGTGGGACAACTGTAATGGCGTCATCAATAAAATATATTTTTAAATAAATACATACATACATACATACATACATACATACAAGTTGGGGGGGAACCCCTACAACAGAGAAACTGAATAAAGAAGTGATTATAATGAGAGTAAACATCATTTTAACCACACAATGTGTAAGATTTATTGGGTATATATTTTCTCCTATAATCAGTATATAAATTAAAGAATAGAATATTCTCAGAATTTAAAATTAGACAGAAGTAAAACTCATGCCCTGCCTGATGTGGTTTAATGGATTGAGCTCTAGCCTGTGGGCCAAAAGGTTGCTGGTTCGGTTCCCAGTCAGGTCTGGGTTGAGGACCAGGTTCTTGGTTGGAGGCCTGTGAGAGGTAGCCAATTGATGTTTCTCTCTCACGTCAATGTTTTTCGTCCTCTTTTTCCCTCCTTTCCCCTCTCTCTAAAAATAAGTAAATAAAATGGAAAACACACAAAGCAAAGAAGTGAACGTGAAGGAGAAAACCCTACTTGAAGCACTAGCGTGACCAATACCGAACGGGTCCTGGGAGTTAGAGGAGGGTCTCTGTGTGTGTGTGTGTGCGCTCACCTGCACACGTGTTGGGTTTGATTTCGGGTTTTGATCTTGTTACTCTACGGGAATTTGAAGAAAAACAGAAAACGATTCAGAACTATTCTCTCTGACCATAAACGTGTCAAGCAATGACTTGATAACGTGCACCAGTAAACCTGGAGTGACATAAACGACGTCTGACCTGTAGTGACAGTCGGCTCGAACACAGAGTTTCCACTCGCGATGGCACACCCACCACTCCTCTTTCCACTCTTCGAAGGCCTTCCGGAGTATTCTTTGCCTGTAGTGGAACCTAGGGCAAGGGACGAATCAGAGATATGTGATGATGTTGAACCGCTAGCTCTTCCCAAAGCACAGTTTCCTATTGCCACTGCCTTCTCATAGTAAGGTGTGGTTCATTATTTAATAACACCAAAATAAATTAAAAATAGATATAGTTAACATCTTCAGATCAAAACCACAGAGCTACTTAAACTAGAAATGAGGCCTAAAATTTTATACTATAGATCTTACCAATGAAAGATGTTAAAGTAGAACAAAATAAAAACACGACTTTTCAAGTACCATAAGTGAGTTGAGAATTAGTCTCAATTTTTTTCACTCACCAGCCTAAAGAATATTTTTGAATGGTAAAAAGTAGTAGCTCCCTGCTCACACAGGCGAGTAAAAGTTATAAAATAAGTCAATGCCTACTGAGGGGAAAATAAAGAGGGGAAACAAGGTAACAAGAACAAAAGCAGAAGAGCAGAGGCACTGTGTTGATGCTAACAAGGCGCTGCCAAGGTGATTCAAACTCACGGACTCCAGTCCTGCCAATCCCCTCGAATTTCTGCCCGTGGTTCTACAGCTTACTAACAAGTACCCCCCCCCACTCCCGGTTTCACAAAACTGGCCTGTGAAGATATACACAGGGAAGTTCGCCTCACTATTAGTCTCAATAAGAAAAAAGAAATACTACTAATGTCCATTAAAAGAGGGCAGGTTAAATTCAATCAATGCCATGTGGTAATTTTTTTAATAAATGAAGTGAAACCAAGGATATTGATATGAAGAGATACCAAAAAAAAAGTTGTTAGGTGAAAAAAATAAAGTCACCTCACAGTATATGTAACATAATGCCATTTTTTATAAATTAATATTTTTGTATTTTGGTACCCATATTTTCAAATTAATATAATATATACCAAATACTATATATTTTAAAGTACATGTGCACATATACATATTTTATGTATATGTGTGTGTACATATATATGTGACTTTAGTATATGTATAAAAAGCCTGGAAAGACCTCCAGAACACCAAACTGTCACCAGGGTTCTGTCTCAGGATATGATTATAAGAGACCGGTATTGATGGGAGTAAAAGGCAGAAAACTGTACCTGAACAATTAAAAAAGAGAGAGAGAGACTGCTATTTCCTATATTATACATTTCTGTAGTTAAAAAGTTTAACAATATCTTTGTTCATAATTTTTAAATATTGTAAAGGAAAAGAACTTCCATTTGCACATGTACTTTCTTCTATCATCTACTATTTACCTACTTCCTCCCCTTTCTAAAACCTCCCTGAAATAATAGCAAATATATTTCAAAAGGTGTAAGCCCACAAAGACAGTGAGACTAGGAGCAACGATGATAGACAAGAGATGTCAACAAATTTTGGACAATGGAAGCAGGCAAGTGAATCAACAGATCAGAGAAAGCAGAGAAATAAGTATCCTGTGGTAGGGAATAGTGAAGTCAAGAAGCAACCAGCTGCTGGTACGAACTCCAGGAGTGGGTGGGAACAAGGGGGCGTCGGGAAGAGCCCTGGGTGGAGATGACACAGGATTAGTTGTACGCCTATGTGTAAGGAAGTTAGGTCCCTGCATCCTGTTTTTCCCCAAGCAGAGACTCCGGTTCAGCTCTGGAGAGGGTAAACCAGAGAGGCCCTGGATTCTAGAATCCCAGGCAGAGCTCTGGAGAAGTCTGTAAACCAAGAGTCTACATTCCGAACCATGAGACCCACATTTCCTCTCCTCTGCTGGCAGCCAAGTTTAAACCACCACCACCCACCTCCACCCCACCCCAAAAAAAGACTGATGGACCCCTTTCCTCTGGGAAAACTGATCAACACCCAAAGGGAAAAGGCCCTCAGACACCGACATCAGGAGGTCCCCAGGTGGAGCTGTCTGCTCTCTGCTTCGAAAGTCTGAAGTGAAAGCCCTGGCCAGGTAACCAGCTGGTTAGAGTGTCGTCCCCGATAGGCCAAGGCTGAAAAAGGTCTGAAGTGAAGCCCTCAACTTACAAGTCCCTATGCATCCATATAAAAGCTTCTAAAATTAGCAGTTTAGTGTCTAACAAAAATATGAACAGATAATACAAGGGTCTCTTGACATTTCAGGGAAGGTTCCAGCATGAGACAGTGCCCAGAACACACAGAAAAAGAAAGCTTCAAAGAAGCAGACAAAAATCTTAAAAGCAAATAAATCACTAAATTAACCTAAAAAATTATAAGCCTCCAGGATGCTATTTTTTAAAAAACAAATAGGAACATTCAGAAAACAAAAAAGATCTCTTGAATACTAAAAATATGACAGAAACGAAAAAAAGATCCATAGACAGGTAAGAGGAAAGGTGTTGAGTCCTGGTGGGGTAGCTCGGCTGGGCGGGGAATTGTCCCAAAATGACACGGGTGCAGATCCAGGTCAGGGCACACACAAGAATCAATCAATTGATGCGTGAATATGTGGAACAACTAATCAATGTTTCTCTCTCTTTCTCTTTCCTCCCTCCCTTCTTCTCATTCTAAAATCAATAAATTAAAACAAAATTTTTTAAACGGTGCAAGTTGAAAACAATGACCCGATCACAAACTTCTAATCAATGAGAACACAGTATCAGAACTCTAATTCTGGTAGGTGGCTGAGAGAACAAATATTCTCACTCTCCCATTTTATAATTTGAGAAACTGAGGCTCGGAGCCATACATAGCTTGTCCCCAGTTCAAACAATTAGACAGGGTCTGGGTTACAACCAAGACCCAGGTCTCCTTAAGTCCAGTCCGGTATTCTTTCTCCCATACCCGGCCACCATAAAAGAGAGAAAAAGAAAAAAGCAAAAACAGAAAGTAAAGCAGCGTGGCAAACACCAGTCAATGGCTAACCCCACACCCTCTGCCAAGGCTGCTTCCTTGTGCACATCCATTACAGAGGCTGGAAAGAAACGTTTGCCCCCAGTCTCCTCTACATCAAAAGGTGGCCAGCAGCATAATAACTCTGACCAGTGAGGCAGAAGCAGAATGCAGCTGGAGATTTCCAGGAACGTTCTGCTTTCCTGATAAAGACACAGACAGAAGTGACGGCACCCTTCCCCCTCCTTCCTGTGTAAAGCTAGACAGTCATCTTGCACTCATGTGGTGTCATCTCTGAGGACAAAGGGTCAATATGCTAAGGAAGGTGAAGAGACAGTACTAGAAGGCTGAGTCTTCGATGGCATCACTGAACAGCTGAACCAATACCAACCTCCAGAGTGCTTCTGGGAAAAGGCAAATTCCGATCTGTTTAAGCCAACACCAAACTTTCCTGGAGTCAAACGCATTCCTAAATAATACTATCACTGTTTCCCAAATACTTGGGCTATAAATAGGTATTATTTGAAGAGAGACTTCCAGCTAAATATTGGTCAAACGTAAGTTAAATAAAATTAAGTAGGAAAAGGATCTGGGGAAGACGGTGGAGGTGGCAACATTTTTCAATCTCTGAATCCCCACAAAACACACAGAGATGCCATGTAGCAAAACCAGAAACTCATGGATCAGTTATAACAAAAACAGGCAACGAGATAGCCCCATGAATCCAGAAGGCAAGCAGGTGTGAACAAACCACCAACAGTCAAAAGACGGGCACGGCGTTAACATTCGTGTAGGAAACCAAGGAGCAGTGAGGTGGCCTGTGAGGAGTGTAGTAACAGCTGTGTGAATGTGGTCTCTCCTTCCTCCTCAGCAAACTAGCACAAGGTTCTTCTTCCTTCTTCACAAGTTCATGAATAGATTTGTTCTCTCTGTACATTTTAGCAACCTCAGCATACATTCATTTCCCCTTTCCTTAGTAAGTCTAGAATTTTCACCTTTTCACTTAAAGGAGGCACTTGTAGCTTCTCTTTGTCATACGCAAATTGCCAGCATCACGAGTCTTGTACTTTGGGGCCATTATTAAGCAAAATAAGGGTAACATGAACAGCAGCACCATGGCGCCACAACGGCTGATCTGACAACTGAGACGCCAGTAAGTGACTAAGAGGACATGCAACATACATCACATGGATACTCTGGACAAACACTTCCTGGGTGGGACAGAGTGGAACAGTGCGAGCTTTCATCACGCTACTCGGAATGGTGTGCAATTTAAAACTTACAGATTGTTTATCTCTGTAATTCTCCATTTAATATTTTCAGACTGTAGTGGACTACAAGTAACTGAAACTGCAGACTAGAGAGACTACTGTACATTATATTCTTAGGGAATTCCTTAAAAGAAAAATTTAAAAAGCATATAAATTTCTGAGCGAACGGGGGGAAAAATTAATAAAATACTCAATTGAATTAAAAAATAACAAAAACAAGAGACTTCCGATAATGGCAAATGAGGTAATTCAGGTCAATACTCCACCTGAGAACAAGAAGGACAAAAAAGATATTTCAGGGCATCAAAGAGCTACCAGGCAGCGAAGAAGGCCAAGGCCAAGGCCAAGGCGCAGGAGAAGCGGGGAGAGCAGAGCTGAGCCGCGCCTGACACCTGCGACTGGGATGGGCTACTGCCACATTGGGAGCTCCAATGGACACAGAAAGCCACGCTTCTCCCCTGCAACAAGGTATACGAAGAAAAAATTTCGGAGAACATGCACAGGCCAAGTTTGCTTGAGAGACCTTGAATCAAGGGACCTTGGGAAATGCTCCAGATTAGGAAAGCCAGACTCAGAAAAATTAAATAAGAAAGGTTGTAGTAATGGGAGAGGGAAGGGGGTGAGAACCCATTACATTTGTTTTTATTTATTTTTTAAAAGATTTTTTGTTTATTTTTATTTTTAGAGAGAAGGCAAGAGAGGGAGAAAGAGATAGAAAGAATCGTCCACGTGTGGTTTCCTCTCATGAGCCCTCTGCTGGGGACCTGGCCTGCAACCCAGGCATGTACCCTGACTGGGAATTGAACCGGCAACCTTTTGGTTTGCAGACCGACACTCAATCCACTGAGCAACACCAGTTAGGGAGTAACATTTGTTTTTTAAAAACGCTTACATTCTCAATGGTTGCCAACTCTCCCTCTGAAAGATAACCTCCATCGGCCCCTTCCCTACACCCTGCTGCTTCCTGCAGTGTCCCTGACCCTTATGGTTCCTCCTTGCAGTCCATTCTGGGCGCAGCAGCTAAAACTATTGATCAGAACCCAAAGCAATGAGTGGGAGCTTACACCAAGTGAGGCTATGGCAGAAGGACTTCTTTCTCTTGACTAACATTTTATTCCCATTACCAGTGCCAACTTTTTCCCTCGATCAAGTGAATTTATCCATCTTGCCAGTGCCCTTAAAGATCTCATTTACTTCTGGGCAAATACTTTTTTTTCCAGAGGTTATTAGGTCTCCTGGTTTACTTTATGATTCCTTCATACACTCATTTGGTCAAACTAATAAGTGTTAAATTACCATTTTATTAAATGCCTGCTAGAGGCTGGGCGGGGGCATAGAAGGTATGTTACACATACCATAATAAAGGTTATGTGTGTGTGTGTGTGCTTAATCAAACAAACAAACTGAACTCGGCAGATGTTTGGTGTTCTGAGCTAATACTACCTGGCTTTAGAGGGAAATACTCTTCCAAAAGTTTTTCGAATCCACAAATACAAAAACTTCCTGGTCACACATCTGAAAGAAGAAAAGAAAAGATATACACATTTTAAAACTCCATTTGGCTAATTTCATCAGCTTTCTGGATAAGAGAGGGAAGCTTCAATGTCCCAGGAGGAGAGAGATGCTAGTAAGAGTCAAAAGGTGAATCATAGCTAATCTTGCATCAAACAGAGCACAAGACAGAACAGGTTTATAAAGCAAAAATCAAGCAGATTATTTGTTTTTATTTTTTTTTAAGATTTTTATTTAGTTAGTTTTAGACAGGGAAAGAGAGAGAGAAAGAGAGGGAGAGAAACATCAATGTGTGGTTGCCTCTCACAGGCCCCTACTGGGGAGCTGGCCTGCAACCCAGGCATGTGCCCTGACTGGGACTCGAACCGGCAGCCTTTTGGTTCACAGGCCCACGCTCAATCCACTGAGCTATGTCAGCCAGGGCAGATTATTTGTTTTAAATACTTTTAATATAATGTATTGTCAGTGAAGACTTCAGAGTTGAGGAAAAGAAAGTATGCACTAAAGCTTTTGTTTGTATTATTCTTCCTACCTAAAACACTTGGCAGATGCCCACTTACCCATCAAGGCTCATCTTCAATGCCTGCTCCTGTGTGACGCCCTCCTGGACCTTCCTCAACCCAAGCAGCGCGAACAGCCCTGCGCTCTCAGCACTCTGTTCCGTTATGTAAACACTATGACACCAAATCAGTCACTGGCTGGCAGGGTGCCTGTTGTTCCCTCTGCCCTGGGAGCCTGAGAGCAGCGACTGAGTCTTACACTATCCTCAGAACCTGGTACTAGCAGTCCTGGCACACACACAAAGTTGACTTGCCTTGGCCAGTTAATCTCCAGGTTTGGTTTGGGAGGCTCTTCTTCCTCCTGCCCTTTATCTGGCTTATTCTTAAATGATGCTTCAGGACTTGGCTGACACTTCCTGCAGGAAGTCACTGCTGGCTACTCTAGCATCGCTGTCCTTGCCACGTGAACCTGTGGTGCTACATCCTCTCCTTTCATTGCATTTACATACTTCACTGTAGTGGTCTGTGTAATGGTCTGTCAAGCACATCTGATTTTAAGCTCCCACAAGGTCAAGGGCCAGGAATGTCTTATTCACCTTACACGCTCAGCATCCAGCACAACACCTAGCCAAGGAGGCACATGCTATATTTTCTTAAATGCAGAAATGGAACCCTTTGATGGAACTAATCAAGACAAAGAGAAAATGATCCTTTTTTTGGACCCTGTTTAGACTTTTTCTGGGAGACTGTCTAGTTTACACCTTGTCAGGTACAACTAAAGAATGTGAATGAAAACACTTGATGACAGATCTTATGTCTGCAGAGTCCTAAATATTTCCTTTTCTCCTGAGCATTTCACCATCAAGAGCAAGTCACCAAGATGCCCAACTAACCAAGACAGGCGAATAAGAATCAACCCTTCATTTTAACCGGAAGGGAGAACAAGGGAAAAGTCACTGAGGGCAGGTGACCACACGCATGCTCACCTGATGCGTAATTCTCTTAACCGACCCCTCTGGGTCCGAGCATGACGCTGCACCAGACGACAGGAACGAGGCATCTCACTCCGGATCCCAGAGAAGGCAGAAGACCTCTTGTTGGACAGTATCTTTGGAGAATAAAGTTTCTTAACTGCACCATCTCTAAAAGACCTTACACTTGAGGTATAAGGGGAAAAGGACAGAATCTAATTATCTCTGCATTAATGCAAATACCTTTTAATATATACGTAAAATTAAATAAACTCATTAAGACAGGCTGATGATAACTATGCTTCAAGGACAATGAGCAGCCCAAGGTGATAGAAATATTTGCCAACCCCCAAGGTGGGCACTGAGTTGGCTCTGGGTGGAAACTGCAGGGCAAGCTAGAGGATACCATGGAGTCATTAATCCAACATTTTAATGTTAATCACTTATAAATTTAAAACATTCTTTTCTATAAAAACAAAAAAAATCATATTAAGAATGATTTTCACACAATGCAACTTTTATACCAATATGAAATCATATACTTTTATTAAAAACTAAATTCTAACTTTTAATCCCATTTTAGAAACATTAAGAGATTACATTATTTGGGATGAATGCATGATTTTTAAGAAATGGATGGCAGAGATCTGCTGCAGGAGATACCTAGAAGCAATGACATCCCATTAGCAGTGACCACACCTAGAGCTTAAATATTGCTTATGAAGTACCATCCCCTACTAAAAGGAACTAGGGAAAATCTCCTTGGAGATTTTCAGGTCTGGGACAAGGAAAATACAAGATGAGCCTGGAATATCTTTTTAGGTCAAAAAATAAACGTTCAAAGAATGATGGTGCATGTCAAAAAGACACAGGAGCCTCCCCCAGCTTGTGTGGCTCAGCGGACTGAGCATTGGCCTGCGAACCATGGGGCCGCCGGTCAGTGCACACGCCTGGGTTATAAACCAGATCCCCATCTGGGGGCGTGAGAGTCAACCAGTCAATGTTTCTCTTCCTCTTTTTTCCCTCCCTCCCTTTCTCTCTCTCTCAAAATAAGTAAATAAAATATTTTTAAAAAGACATAGGAGCCAGCTTGAAAGGGCTCCCACTGTCCAAATCTAGGACAATTGGGATAATAATAGATGAAAAATAAAATAGAAATTCATATTTCTATAAAATAGAAACCCACTAAATAAAATAGAAATCCATAAATCCACACTGATATAAGTAAATAGATGAATAAAAAACACATGTGGGAGAATGAAAAAGCTCTACTTTACGGTAGAATATTTAAAGGAAACTTTAAATAAACTTGGAAGGAAATTAGAAAAGCATCATTTAGGAACTATTATTATAATAACTGATTCAGATAAGAATCATCAATGGACGTAAAAACAAGTGGGTGCTAGTTTATGAGGAACAGGACATTAACGTAGTTTCGAAAAATATCTCCCCACAAAATACTTATTTATTACTTTATAGCAGAGAAACCTGGCAGAAATCATCTCAACTAAGGGACAAAAGTTAACATCAATGGTGACGGGACCTAGTCAGCATGACATGTCTCCTGATATTGATGCCCTAAGAAAAACACAAAATCGCTTCTGTGATACTCTTGCCAAAAATGCACGACCTGAATTTAATCATGAAGAACCACTGAACAAACCCAAATTGAGAAATATTCATAAAAGATTAAGTGTTCTGAACTCTTAAAAACTGCTTAGGTCATTCGTGTAAGATAAGGAAAGACTGAAAAAGATTTCCAAATTAAAGGAAACTAAAAAACAAAAACAAAAAAACAACATGTGATCCTGGACCAGAAAGGATAGGAATAAAAAAGAAAGTTTTGCCCTGGCTGGTATAGCTCAGTAGGTTGAGTGCGGGCTTGCGAATCAGAGAATCACGGTTCAATTCCCAGTCAGGGCACGTACCTGGGTTGCAGGCCAGTTCCCATCAGAGGACACACGACAGGCAACCATACATTGATATTTCTCTCCCTCTCTCCTTCCCTTCCCCTCTAAAGATAAATAAAATCTTTGAAAATATTTTTTTTAAAAAAAAGAAAGTTTTTCTTATATTTTGTTATTTTCTTTTGTTATAACATTTTTGAGATAAAAGCTGGCCTCAACTTACTCTCAAATGGTAGAAGTAAAATACAGATATAAATCTATAGGTATATCAATACAGATATAGTTGATTCTCATTTTTGCAGTTATTATGTTCTATAAAGTCAAATAAAGACTGAACTAGTGAATATACTGAACCAGTGTTCTTAGAGGAAATACATGCACGGTTAGGTTCCCACGAGCCTTCAAAACCATCTTCATTGATCAGTCAGTACATACCCTGTTTTATGTGTACTTCTGTTTAAAGATACCTTTTCTTAATACACATAGTGATTCATTAACATTGAACTTCTGGCCATCAGCACTATAACACATCCTGAACAATGCTTGTCTAACATACCGATGTCTCCCTAAGATACGTCATGGCCTTCTTGTGCTTAGGAACTAGACAGTACTTCAGCACTGTGCATGGGCACCTCTTTAAACAGAGACATCATCAAAGAGAAGCACAAAACTGTGAAAGCGTGGCCTTACACAGGATAAAAAAAAGGGCACTTGTTTCACATTATGAGAGCTGAAACAAGAAGACAGAGCACTGCCTTGCTGGACCTCAACTGGGAACACGTAGGGAGTGACTAAAATTTTTTGCCCTTCTGTGCATGCCTGCAAATGACATGAAAATGCTGAGAGATGGAGATAGACAGATAAATGTGGTAAAATATTAATAACAGGAGAATCTGTAAGAAGAAATGTTTATAGTTCTTTGTCCGATGCTTTTAACACTTCATGATATTTGAAATTATTTCCAAATAAAAAATTAACAAAAAAATTAAAATAAGTAATTCATCCCACTCACTTTAAAATAAAAAGAGGCCCCAAAAGGTGAAAAGCCCATGAAGGTATACTGTCACATTGGTGGCAGGTGTACTGAGACAGCGCCCCTTCGAAGCCCCGCTGCCTAATCAGACAGGTAGTCAGCACTCAGCAGACTGGGAAGCCTTGGTGTAAGTCAGGTAGCCCCAGAAAGCTAAATCATTCTAACAAAATGAACACCTAAAGGAAGAGATTAGAAACTGAAATTATACATCTCTTTATCTATGTAGCAATTTCCCTTAAACTATAAGTAAGCCTCATGATGACAGGGACCATTTTTATTTGATAATACATACTTGGTCCCTAACATACTGCCAGGGACATGGTAGGTACTCACAAGACATTTGTTAAATTACACAAGGGAGAAAGAGTAGAAGAATGAAAAAGTTGAAAGAAATATGAAATGGTTCAAACAGGCACTTTAAAAACACAATACCAACAAGCCAAAAATTATGAAAAACGGGAGAGGAGCCTGGTTTAATTAAAAATATAGTAATTGGGGACTTCCGCCAAGATGGAGGCGTAGGTGGAAGCACTGCACCTTCTCGTGTAACTAAGTTTAAAAACAACAAAGTTTTAGCAACAAAAAAGCAGCCAAACCACAGAAAATTGAACTACATGGAAGTCTGACAACAACAAACCCTTTAGTCAAACCAGTAAGAGGGGCAGAGCCAGCAGCAGAGCAGGGTCAGGCAGGAAAGATCCACCAGACCGACCTAGGCACCCAACCCAGGTGCGCCAGCAGCCATGGGCAGATCCCAGGTGTGAAGAAGCGGGTGGACCCGGACCCACTGAGGGCGCAAGGTGGTGGACCCACTGAGGGCTGACCGTGGTCACACATTCGCACACAGACAAACCGGTGAAGGAGCGATCAGTGAGACGAACCGCACAGGCCCCAGCGGCAGGAAGTGGCAGAAGGAACCACCATTGTCCTTCACTGACCATGCCCCTACATACAGTGTCACAAACCAGCAACCTTGGTGGCCCCGCCCTGGTGAACAACTAAGACTCCGCTCCTCATACATAACAGGCACAAACAGATAAAAACATGGCTCAAGAACAACTCAGAGCCCCAGAGCCGATAAATCTAAGCGAACAAGAAATTGCCAAACTTTCAGATGCACAGTTCAAAACACTGATGATCAGGATGCTCACAGAACTGGTTGATTTTAGTCACAACATATGAAGGCTAAACTAATTGAAATGAATGGTAATGCACAAAAAAACAACAGTAATGGAAAGGAAACTGGGACTCAAATCAAAGGAGTGGACCAGAAGGAGGAAAAAAGTGACCAAACAGAAAAGGATGAAGAAACAAGAATTCAAAAAAATGAGGAGAGGCTTAGGAACCTCCAGGACATCTTTAAATGTTCCAACATCTGAATTATAGGGGTACCAGCAGGGGAAGAGGAACAGCCACGAGTGGAAAACTTATTTGAACAAATAATAAAGAAGAATCTCCCCAATCTGGCAAAGGAAATAGACTTCCAAGAAATCTAGGAAGCTCAGAGAGTCCCAAAGAAGTTGAACCCAAGAAGGAACACACCAAGGCACATCATAATTACATTAGCCAAGATTCAAATGAAGGAGAAAATCCTACAAGCAGCAAGAGATAAGGGGACAGTCACCTACAAAGGAGTTCCCATCAGACTGTCGGCTCATTTCTCAAAAGACACCTTACAGGCAAGAAGGGGCTGGAAAGAAGTATTTCAACTCATGAAATCCAAAGACCTACATCCAAGATTGCTCTATCCGGCAAAACTTTCATTTAGAATGGAAGGACAGATAAAGTGCTTCTCAGATAAGATCAAATTCAAGGAGTTCATCATCACCAAGCCCTTATTATATGAAATGTTAAAGGGACTTATCTGAGAAAAAGAAGTTAAAAAAACATGAACAGTGAAAGGACAGCAAACTCACAGTTATTAAGAACCGCACCTAAAACAAAAGCAAACTAAGAGGACAGCTAGATCAAGAGCAGAACCATAGAAATGAAGATCACATGGAGGGTTAGCAACAGGGGAGTGGGAGGAGGAGAAGGGGGGAGAAGATACAGAAAATAAGTGGCATAGATAGTAGGTAGAAAATAGATGGGGAGAGGGCAAGAATAGTATGGGAAATATAGAATCTAAAGAACTTGAGACATGTGGTCATAAACTAAAGGGGGGAGAATGGTGAGGGAGGGGTGTGCAGGGTGGAGGAGAATGAAGGGGGGAATAGAACTGTAATGGCATAATTAATAGAATATAT